AAAAATAATGTCATTTAACAATATCAAAAGCTAATTGTTGGTTTTGAGCAGGAAAAAGCATTCATTTTTGATATCATCATCAGCATTGTTTAAATTATTAATATTAATATCTTTTATCAAATAATGTTCAAGTGAGATTTTTTGGAATTTTTTTTCTTCTTCTTCTCTCAATTATGTTATTATGGTTTTGTGAATTTGTTGGCTTTACAATTGACTGATTATTAAGCTAGTTATTCATTTTAATGTTGTAATGATTATCATGATTATCATCTGTTGTTCATTAGAATGAAAGGAAAAGACAAAAAAAAGTTGAGAAAAAAAGCAAACTTGAGAATCAAAATTTTCTCATTTTTCACCATCAATTGTTTTCTTCCCACTTGACTTGTACTTTAACATGATAATCATCTTCTGCTTTCAATGGGTTCTGTGTTCATCTTTTTTCATTAAACTTGTTCATCAGAAGAACAAGTTGAAATGGAAAAAGGACGGAACTTTTTCACTAAAAAAGAGAAGAAAAAAATTCTTTCAATCATCTTGAAAAGTTACCTTGTTCAATTGACTATTGAAGGTTTTATTGTTTACAGTTATTTGCTGACAAACAATTTAAAGTGAAAAAAGAGTTTCCTTTCAACGTTTCAATCTATCAACAGAATCAGTCAAATTGCGGTTCAATTTCTGGTGGTTTAGTTGGTCAAGACTGTCAATGTTGCAATTGTCCGAATTAATTCAATTGTTGAACCTTTTGTTGGTTCTTGTTTACATAAACTATTTGACAACATTTGAAATGAATGAGAAAAGTTTAACATCTATTTTACAATATTAACCATGTTTAGTGTTCAATTTGATGTAATCTTGAAAGGAAATTTCATCTTCAATGAGTGCTTTTTGCTGTGAAATATTTTCACTCGAACTCGTTCAACTCGTCTTGTTTACATTTGAAATGTTTGGTTCACTTGAACACTCGACCCAAACTGGTCAAGACTTGTTAATTACCTTTCGAAGCTTTTATTGAAAAATTATGCAAAATATTTTGCACACCTTTTTTTGTCAGCTTTCGTTGCTAATATCAAATGGTTATTACGTCAAAATTGTAATAAATCACATTCAAATATGACTTTAATATCTTCAAGACACGAAATGGTTTTAATTTTCAATTTGATTAACATTGGAAAAATTCATTTTTCATTATTTTCTTCTTTCTTTTATCAGACAAAAAAACTTCATTTCAATATTCATCTGAAAATTGTCAAAACAAAATTATACTTTTTGACACTTTAAAGGATATTAAGTCGTGTCCAGCTTCAGCTTGAAAACCATTTGATTCATTAACAGAAACCGGCAATTATCTCAAGTTCATCAGCACTCGGTATAATAGCTGTAAACATTTCATGAAATTTAATGTCTTTTAATATCATTTTTATGGTAAATTCATTTTTCCATTACAAGGAATTGAAAGGGAAATATTTCATATTCAAGATTGAATCTACTTATGAGTACATTCACTTGCATTTCCTATTTTTGTTTTTCCATGAAACAAATCAAAATCTGAGAGTCGATGAAAAGGAATTTCCTGATTGTTCAGAAATGAACAAACAAGTTGACATTTAATGTCTCAAGTAGTCTCTGTACTAATTGAATGTATAAATATAATAGCTTTGTCTTTTGCTTCAGGCAAAAGAATCATCAATAGAAGTTTGAAATCTATTGTTGTTGTTGTTTGAAATTTAGACCACAAATTGGATGAGCAAAGTCGAAATCAAATGCTGAAGAGGAAATAATGGCGATAATATGGTGATGATAATAAAATCAAGAAAAGTTATCATTAAAGTTGAGGAAAAAACATTGACAATATTTACAGAAATGAGTTTAAGTAATAAAAACTGTCGAGTTGGGAATAACTTCAATCCTTTTCTCATCGACTATTCAACTTGTTTTCATTTTTCAAATCAACAATCAATGGTCAATATTGAGACAATCAGAGCAAATTGATTAGAACTGAATGTTAAATTGAAACAAAACAATGTTTAGAGATGTTATTGACGACATCGATGACCATTAACTCGTAATCGTTTTAATTACAATTAAATGTTGATACCTTGAATTAAAATGATTAAATCGTAAATGTCTTTTTTCCTTTTCTTTTCACTTTTCTTGAACATTTCAGTAATGTATTGGTAATGGGTTTAAACACAATCATCTTATTCTGACTATCATGATCATCATGAAGATGGTTATTTTGAAAAGAGATTAATAATTGAATCAATTATTCTAATAGCGTACAAGGTTTACATTTTAAATAATATTGAAAATGAATAATCGTTAAAAGAGGTTAATCAGCAACGTAAAATGATCAACACTCGACAATCATTTTGACAATTGAATAATGAGAAATGATGATTTGAATGAAAATGAAATTATTTCAATGGTTTTTCACAACAACACACAAAATGGATTCACATTTTTTCTCCTTTTTCGACTTTTATCATTAAACTGGAAAAGTAAACCAGAGAAGAAGAAAAGTTGATAGTATTTGAGAGTTGAATAGTATATTATGTTGAATGTTATTTATATGTTATTGTATGATGAATGTACAATTTAATATGAAAGTGTCAATGAAAAAGTCATTAATGTAAAGAAACCATTAAGGTTAAATGCGCTGATGCCAAATGAAAAATGAAAACAGTAAATCTAAATTCAAATCTAAAAGTTAAAGTTTACTTTGCTCATCATTACCTAATGATGAGAAAAGGGAAAAACTATATTTCACTTTTACTTTCGTGTTGAACCCAAACCTAGAGAGTGAGTAAAGATCAAGGTAAAAATTAAAAATCTGTCTTCTAATTGGATTTGATTGTTGTCATGAATCAGAGGCAAAACTACTCAAGTTTGGATTAAACCAGCTTTGAACCCGATTAAGTGCTTAAGCTTACTTGAAGCAAAACGAGAACCTCTAGGTTGACTCAATGTTCAAGTCAATTTAGGTTCAGCCTTTGAAAGAAAGGTTTGTTCACTATGTTGAACAATCCAAAGATCAACTTTGAGTCTCACAGTTTTGTAGTTGAACCCTGAGCTGAAACGTCTACAAACGGCTGCATCAATGCATCGTCAAGGTATAATAATTATAAAGCAATTGTCGATAATCGAAAAGTGTGCTATCTTGTGTATTTCTATTACTATCTGTGTAATTCCGGTGGAATACTTCAACCGATTCAGAGTTCAAGTATCGACAGAAAGAAAAGGTGGAAATTCGGGCGAAACAATGCTACAAGTGAAACATTTTCCCCAAACTAAATGATCTTTGATCATCGGCAGTTACTTTTGTTAGACGTGAGTTTTTTGTTGAAATAAAATTCGAGTTTTACTTTTGATTTAATTGTGTTGAGTTGAAAGTTGAATGGATTCATGAATTGATTGCGATTGAAATGAGATGCTCTATGGAATGCAATAAATTTCATTGATTTATTTATTGTTTATTTTTCGATTTCAATTTGTTGTTTCTTTGATTATTGATTGATGACAGTTTATCATTGTCAGTTGAAGTAAGATGATAATGATAATGATGAGGCAAGATGTTGATGAACATTTTGTAACTTGATAGTGAAATGTTTTCTAACATGTAATCAAAGACGCGAAAAAAAAGGTTTTGAAGGTTTGAAGTAACAAAATAAACAGGACAAGAAGCAAAAACAGGATAAAGTTGAAAGTGATGTTGTGATTGTCAGGGAGTGTAAATGATGCTGATGGTGATAGTAGTGAAGATGAGGTGAAAAGGATAATGATGATAACGGTTAAATATGTTTCAACCATCAAATATATCAAACTATTTGGCAAGAAGAGAAGCAAAAAAATTGATCCAAAGATACTTCGATTGCAAGATAATCGATGAGATCGCTTAATTTCCAAGCCTAACCATTGGCTTTATCATCATCTTCATCTCCATCATCGATCTTGTTCTTGTTCTTGCTTCTTATTAGTCTTGAAGAGTAAATAACAGAAAAGAGAAGAAAAAATTTCAACCCTTTTCTCTCATTAATGCAATCTTGATCATTTAATATCACTAATTAAATGCAACCAATCAATGCAAATCAATCAATAAATCAACATTTATCGAACTCAATTTTTTTCTTCTTCTCTTCACTTTTGTTCCATTATCATCATTAGCCTTATTGATTAAAAATTTTACATGATAATTCCTTTTCCATTGTTTATTGTTGGAACAAAGAGCGATATTAATGAACATGATTATCAAGTAAAGAATGGTTAAAGAAACTAAAAATAGCTCGATAAAGTTTCACTTTTTTTGCTGGATAAATTGTCATGAATATATCATGGTAATAATAATATTTAAGGAACAGTTTCCAATGATAGACGAGTAGAAAAATTGAATGACATTTATCATCATCATTAACATCATCATTATCATCATCATTATTGTCATCGTTATTTTTCCATGTTCATTATCATGTACTTTTTTTTGTCTACTTTTTGCTGCAAATAACTTATTGATATTGAACATTGAATTGTGGCGAGAACAAAATGTGAATCCAATTTGTTATTAACCGTAATATTTACACTCATTAACCTAATTGTTATTAGCAGGTTTAGCCTTTTCTCACTTGCGATTTAAAATTATTTAATGCTAGTTAACAATGTGATTGTGATTGTGAAGGTTAACAACTAGTTTTGTTTCAACTATTAAAACGTACAATCATTAATGGTTATGATCATCATTTGTGGTTTCACAGAGTTGGCTTAATGATCAATTCAAGTTGAAATTTAGATGAAAGGGAATTTAATTTTTTCAATTTCTTCAGATTTTCTAACAATCATGAAAACAAGATTAAGGATCCTTTTCTTGCTTCAATCAGCTTTTCAGTTGACAAACAAATGACGCAAAGGTTATCTGATTGTTGATAACATTCACTGATAAGATCAATGATTAACATCGTCATTTGGTTATAAAGAGTATTAAATATTGGGTTTTGGTTTGGTCAACTTACCAGTTTTGTCAAGATTTTGGTATCTCTCTAATCAGTGGTGTAACAATTGGTAAGAGTTAATCGTCTCCTTAATCCGTTGCAATTTCACTAATAGGTTTAACTTAAAATCACTGTGATTGTTGGATGTTGAATGAAACTGTTGAGATTAGATAACTAAATGGTCCTTTGATGATTTAATTGTTTTGTTTGAGTGTTGAAAGGAAATGCTAAATTGGCATGTTTAACAACAAAAATGCAGGAAAAAATATATAATTCACTTCAATTGGGTTGACTTGAAGACACTTGAAGATGCACATTTATAAACATTGAATTAACACTGATATATTGTTGGTGTTGATGGGTTTAAAGATGTGTAAAATTTACTGGTTAACTGATCTTAACTACAATTTACAAGAAGAGGTTAATTAATTGATTTATCAACATGAATATCAACACAAATTTTACAGTTGATCTGGTTTTTTTGAAAACATTTAAACAAGACAAATTTTTTATCTCTTTTTATTTGGGTTGAGTTTTCTGTACTTTTCAATCTTCGCTTATTGTTGTTGTTGTTGTTGATGGGTTTAATGATTAAAAATGATGATAAATCACACAAAATTGTACTCACCAATTAGTAAATGATGTTATAATTGTAATTAATTGTAGACATTAATAAGAGTTGATTGAAGGTTGAAATTAGTTTCATCCTTTGGTTAACGAAAAAACACAAAGTAAATAACAAAAAGCGTAAAAACATGGAGAGCTTTGTAATAAAAGGTTTACTGTTCAACTAACTTCTGCTTTAACCCAAAGTTTACCAAATAACCAATGTATGTAGTCTTCGCGCATCCTCATAGTTTATTGTGATTACTTGATTAACTTTTATTAAACATTTACCTTTATCAATCTATTCATCAATTTCAAAGATTATTCAACATCATAATCACAATTTAAATAATCCTCAACGTAATCAAGTCTACTTTCGCTGTCCATTTTCAACGGTTGTCAAGGAATGACTAAGGGTTTGTCTGTAACCAATATTTTATTATTCAAGTTTTTCTCTCTTCCTTTATGACTTGCATTTTGGTTTCATTATTTCAATTGAATGTGATTCATTTGTAACAATTAAAACAGTTGGAATGGTTAAAGAGACAAATTAATTTCAATTATGTGCAATCAAATGTGTTGAAGAAATCAAATCATCTTTAATGACATAAAATATCAACGGGTAAGTGTTGACCTTTTTTCTGTATTACTGGTCTTGTTTTATCAATATCTTTGGTGCTTTGTTTTCATTTAACTTGACAGCCATATTTTTATTAACTGTCACATTGGAAGGTAATTATTAACAATTTAAGACAATCAAGATGAGGTTATTGGAGTTTCAATTGTAGGTGAATTGAAATGGAAATACAATTTCGATCATTTTGATCTGGTTCTTCCAAATTGCTCTTGTGCAGCTTAGCAGTTTTCAAATCTGTTGTTGGCTCTGATTTATATTTAATATTGATTATTCGATTATTAAATTATAAAGTTATTGTTATGTCTAACCAGCAGTTAATTTGACGAATTTTGAGTTTTTTTGCTTCAATATTTTCATGTAATTTTTGATGAAAATCAGGAAAATATCTTTAAAATGAAAATTGGTAAATTTTCAGATAATTTTACTCCAGATTGTTATTGATGAAATTTTTTATCTCCATGTGATAATTTGATTAACGCTTCGAGTCAAAATAACTCTAATCTGATCACTGATCACATATTAACTTGTTGATGTCAATCATTCAAATCTAATTGTTTCATTAGTTAATGGTTGCTCTTATTTGAGCGTCTTTAATTTTGAAATTTCTACTCGGCATTATGTAGACTTCATAAGCTTATTTTATCTCTGTTATTAGATTTTGTATCTTTCTAAAATAAGTTTAATTCATTAAGCTAATTAAGTTAAATCATTAACAAATGGTTATTTTATTATCATTTGTTAAACTCGTTCATTTTAATACAACAATGTTTTCAAGATTTTACGGTTCGTAATATGGAAATGGTCCCTATTTTAAAGCATGACAAATATTGTTGATGGTTTCTCTTGTATTTGTGTTTATGGCAATTTAATTACAATCTTCACTGATTTATTTTCTTATTATTACTAGGAATTAGTTGACTGTTCAACAAATTAATTGTGTTTCGTTATGGAGGAGCAGTCTGTTATGGAGACGGATAAGGTATGTACCATTTTAGGTTTTTTAAATGGTTGTTATTTCTTTGCTTCTTCACATTTTGTTTTTCTTGTACTAATTTTATGTTTTTATGTTACAGCCTGAAAAGACCGGAAAGACTGGGTTAATTTATTTCAGTCACATTCCACCTGGTATGGATGTTCGAAAAATTAGAGAAATTTTCAGTCAATTTGGTGAAGTGGGTCGTATTTATTTGGAGAAAGATACTGCTACCAAGAAACTTGGTAAAAAGACTAAATTTCATCGTTACACAGAAGGTTGGCTCGAATTTAAGAAGAAAAAGACAGCCAAACAAGTGGCAGAAAAGCTAAATGGTCAACAAGTTGGTGGTAAAAGACGCAATGTTTATTTTGATAGCATTTGGAGCATAAAATATCTCCACAGGTATTGTGTTTTTTACAGCCTTTTGTCATGTTTCAGTTTAGCTTCATGTTTGATTGGATAATTTAAAGTTTGGATACTTCTCATGTGAATCGCATCAAGCCTGAGAAGTACTCTTTCCAAATTTTAATCTGTTCAACCAAATCTATTAGTGTAAAATCTAGAAACAGCTGTATAATGCTTTGTTTTTAGTGCCTCTTTTGGTTTCTTGACACTCTTTGATTTACTAAAGTCATTAACACAATATTTATAACGCATTCTTTTTTCTTCTATGTATTTCAGGTTTAAATGGCATCACTTGAAAGAAACCATAATCCAACAGAGAGCTTTAAATGAACAAAGGCTACGTTTTGAGCTTGAACAAGCTCGCAAAGAGACCAACTTTTACCTTGAAATGTCTGAAAAACGTAAAAGGAAAAAGTCTGCTAACAACATCGACCCAACTAAAATATTGGAAAAACAAAAGGAGACAGATGAAGTTATCCGGAATCAAAAGAAAACTCCGGATGTTGATCTTGACCTATTGAAGCGTATTTTTAATTAAGCAATCGTTTCAGTTAGGTTCTGGATAATGGTTCAGTTTTTAGTTCGTAGTGAGTCAGACATTTCAGCAAATTTGAATCAAGTTTCTAACTCTTTTCGGGTCAAGATCACTAACTTATAATTGAAGGAAAATATTGTAAACTTGATATTTAAATTTATCGGAAGTCTTTAAGGTTCTTATTGCTATTAAAACCTGATCATGTGAATATCTGAGGAAAACTTTATGTAATTCATCATTGTAATGTAAATACAAAAAAATATTTTCAAATTGAACTTGATATATTTTCAATCAGCTTAAGCTAATTATGACCTTGACATGAAACTATTTTATTGGTTTCGGAGTTTTACTATTAGTTTACTCCACTTTGTGCAACTCGATTTATTAATAATTTATTGAATCTACTCATATGAAATTCAAGATTTATAAAGTAAATATAAATTATTCAGCTACATGTATATAAACGAAAAGAGCAAAAATTTAGGTTACACCTCAAAATTTTCATTTGGTTTATTATACGAGGATTTTCATTTTCACATGTTCTTTTTAATTGTTGCTCAATTTGTTTGTTTCAAGTATGGTATATGAAGGTGTATACAGTTTGGTTGATGTTCCGTCCTCCGGCTTCACAATTGAACAAAAGAAGCGAAGAGATGATCATGTTTCCCAGTTGTTGGTGTTGAGAACAACAAAAAAGAGAAAAGGCAATAAAATAAAGATAATTGAGTTAAAGCTAAGCTATCTTTAAACACCTTCTTCCATCAGTTCGGCATCATTGTTAGGATCATCATCATCTCCATCATCGTCTCCATCATCTTCGTCTTCATCTTCGTCTTCCATAGAGGATGAATTAGATTCACGATGATGCTGAGATCGGGGCCTTAAGGAACTTTCGGAGCTCTCATTGACTAAATTTGAATTGTAAGTTTCATCTCCTGAATCTAGACAGACAACAACCTCGTCATCATCATTGGCATATTGTTTGTCGATGACCTCTTTAATTTGATTGTTGGCTCCCTTGGGATCCAGATCCATCGCCCAAGAGAAGTTCATTAACGCTAAATGCGTATTACCCAAACGTTTGTGAACCTGTTGATATTGAATCAAAAAGAAAAACAATATTAGTAAATCATCAAAATCATGGTTAGTTTAATTAGTAATGAGATTCCTAATATGCAATACAGAAAGAATGAAAAAAAGCAAGTACTCTATAAGTAAACAGAGCTGTTCCAAGATAAGCGACTAGCTTAGGATGAACTTGAACCTAATATAATGCTTTTAATGTGTTTTTAAAAGCAATATCATTTTATCAAGGATATTAGACACACACATAACGAATAGATGCTATATTTGATTTCTTTGTTTGCCAAAGCACATCAAATAAAATCAGAGACCTCAAATTAAGCCATTTGAGTGTCAGAAAGTTAAGTTCAGAAAGGATGAGTTTTATTAGTAACAATTTAGCAATTTGAATTTATTTAGTGAAAGGGAAATTCAGATAAGGAAGAATAAATAATAATTAGAAATCAGCTGAAGGTAATGTATCAGAATAAATTGGAAACTGGGACATGAATAAAAGACAAGGATATTTCATACAGACTAACAGCTGATAAAAAGCTGATATTCATCTGATTAGAAACTATTCAAGACGGAAACAAATGTTAAAATAAGATGTGAATCAAATATTCTTCATCTGTCAAGTTTTTTTGAGATTGTTCAAACATATATTAAAAGTTGAGCTAGAAAATGGTAGATTACGATTAGAAAGTCTATTAATCATGCAATCAAATCTTATCTGTGAAGTTTATTTACTAACTCGAAAAGGACACTGTTAAAAATATTAATCTCTAATCACAGTTGGTTCCCTAATCTAACTGACTTTTGAATAATTAGGACAATAGAAAGAAGAATCCATAGCAGTCGGAGGAATCTTACCTTTCCGATTAAAAAATACACCAATGATTCCTTTGGCACAATTTGCTTCAATTCTTCTAATTCATGCAACGCCAATTGATGTTTTTCCATTGAAAAATAAATGGATGCTCTATGAAATTTACACAGTGCATTTTTGGGATCCATTTCGATGGCTTTATTTAAAGTTGTCAAAGCACTTTCAGTCTTTTTTAGTGCATGTTGAACTACTCCGATGTGACACAAAAGAACTGGTGAACATGATGATATAGAAAGAGCTTTACGGTAATGTAGCTCCGCCAATTGATATTTTTCTTGTTTATAATAAATCATTCCAATGCCGTACCATGCATTATAGTGTCTTGCATCGATTCTAATAGCATTTCGGAAGCAAGCCATGGCGTGATCCATCTCTTCAGTAAGGACAAGTTCATGTCCCAGCAATGTATAAGCATAAGCAAAGTCAGGATCAACTTGGATAGCTCGTTGTAAGAATTTGATAGCTGTTTCATGTTCTTTCTGGAGGCCAAAACAGTTACCAGCAACACACCATGTCTGTGGAGCAGTTTTGTCAAACTCAATAAGTTCTTGAGCTAACATTGATAATTTTATCTCTCTTTGTAGATGCCAAAGAGCTGTGCTATAATACTCTGTACCCTGGAGTCTATGTGGCTCTACTTTGTGAGCTTCTTCAAAATATTTGACCGCTTCTTCATACTTAGACATTTCAAAGTACGCTCGACCAATAGCGCTTAATACCCAACCCGTGTTGAACTGTTTTTGAGGCAGATTAATTAATATTTTAATGGCTTTAGTACAATGGAATTGTCCTAGGCAAAGAGATGCATTAGCGAGGTCAGCCAAAAGATTAAGTAAACCTTCAGCAGAAGCCCGTTGCATCTTTAAACCAGCTTGTTTTACTTCCTCAGTAATAAAACCCGACTGTTGACTTGACTTGATGGGCTCAGATTTGTTCAACTCGTTGAGTTCCATTTCTTTCTGCTGTAAAGTTGACGATGAGCTAGTTATATTGTTTGTTGAATTAGTTTGCCTTCTTGTCTTTTTAGTAGGAGTCTTGGAACTAGATGCTCTCTTGTTATTCTCTTGATTGATACTTCTAGGCGTTGATTTACTATTTTCTTTCACAGAGGATGAACTATTGAATATTCTTGACGATCGTCTTAGTCCGAGCCCTGTTGATCCAAGAGATGATTGATTGGTTACCGTTGAAGGAGCTTGAAATCCTAGTTCACCTGATTGAGTATTTATATTTACTGATTGGCTAAATATTACGGGTCTATTAACATTGTTACGGGTGGTTACTCCTTGAATTGCGTGACTTCGACGGGTCTGAGGTTTCTTGGCAGGAGCTCGGGTTATTCTCTCACTTTGCATGTTTGAATTACGGATTTCCGAAGTGTCAATATTCTCATTTGGTCCAAGAGTACAAAGATGAATGGGTGGGGTATCTATAATTGGGAATACTCCAAAACTCAATCTAGATGCTGTGCCACTTGGAGTCTCTGTTCTTTTCACAGAGGTTGGTGAAACTTTATCAGAGGACACATTTGCACTCCGTCTAGTAATTTTAGCCAGTGGCTGAGCTTTCTGTGGAGCGAGGCAGGTTGTTACCCATGAATTACACTCTGGTGTGATAACATCAATTATTCCATTGTCATTTGTTGGCTTTATTAGAGCAAATGGTGAATGGATTTCAACGGGTTGATTGAGCTCTTTAATTGTAGGAACCGTCACCTGGCTACCAATTCCTCCAATTCCTTGACTAGTGTTGTCAATATTCCCTTTTACATTGCTATTCCATAAAGTAACCAGGGGGTTATTCCCATGACACAGAGAGAAGTCTATATTATTTATATTGAATATCTTGGCTGAATCTGGTTTAGCACCCAATTGAACCAAACTTTCAAAAGATGACCACAGAAAAGGATTGAACTTTAAACTTTTTAGATAATAGTCCACTGCTTTCTCATATCGTTCAGTTTTACTACAAATAAAAGCCAACATTTGAGCTGCAAATGCAGCACTTTTACCGAATTCTTGAACAAAATCTTCGGATGAGAGGCCGCTTTTACAACACCCACTTTTGTCCAGGCAGTTGAATTTACCCAATAATGCCTCCTCAGCTTCACCATATTTTTTAAGATCACAGCAACATCGAGCCAATAATAAACGACATTCAGATGATTTGAAGCTCTTGTTAGAAAGTATTGAATAGGCAGCAACTTGTTTGTTTGCACGATAATAACAAGTCGCTAAAAGGTAAAGAGATTCCTCGGAAGCAACTGTAAGATTATAGTGGTATTTGACGGTTGGATTTGAAGAACATTATGGTGATGATAATATCCATGATGATGCGAATGTTAATGGTGAAACATTTCAATTTGATCGGGTAACATGTAAGAAAATATAAGCAAATATAATAAATAGGAGAAATAAGTGAAACGGTCCAAGACAAACAATAAGAGATAGACAGACAAAAGAAGACTAAATTTGGGCGATCATTTAGGGTTGTTTTTGATTTCAAATTGATTGAATTTACTCACCTTCAGCATTCAGCCTCTCAGCTAAGAATATTGCATCCTTGTAAGAATAGTGATTCAGTATGAACCAGATAGTTGCCTGAATAAATAAGAAAAGATAATATGAATAAGACAATAGATAATAAGACAAAGTGTAAAATGGATTTTTAGGGACAGATATAAGATGTAAAATTTGAAAATGCAGTAAGGATCAAGAATAGGACTCTGGACAGAAGCTAAAATTAATCAAAATTTATATTAAAAAACGTTTAAATTATTTGAAAAAATAACTCGGGTTTCTAATAAGTCTAGTATAGTCTAGGCCAAACACAAGATTGGTTGGTTTGAGTCAAGAGTTATTCAAGTGAAGTAAAAAATGGAAAGAAGCAACATTAGACAAATAACTAAAATTTCTTACCTGTACCGGCTCTTGTATAATCATCTCCACCATTCGGATCCAGAATTGTGAAGATCAATTGATTAATCCCAATAAAGATAGCTAAAATAATAAAAAACAGGCAAGAAACAAAATTGTTACTGGAATTAACTACAATTAAGTTTTACACCACCAAACCTAACCAACACTTGGACAACACTTCTCTCCCTTTCTCTCACTCTCTTTCTCTCTCTAGTTGCCTTAACTGAAAAGGGATTGTTCGTACATAACAAACCGTTTTTATAAAATAAATTATAGACACAGCTTAAAATGTTACATTAATTTGAAGTTGATTATTAATGTAAAAATTAAAACTTAATCCTGGAGATAAATTTACAATAAACTGTTATTTTAAACAAATTAATAAAGTTGATAGATAAAATTTAAGTTGATGGATATTTGGTAACCAGCTTGGTTGCTTTTCCTAAAGTAACTGTCGGTTTGAAAAAACCAGTAACCAGGAACAAAGGTCTGGAGTCACTTGCTGATTGGATGTGAGGTCGGTAAACATTGTTCATTTACCAATGGGAAAAGCAACTAGACTCTCATCTAATAAATTTAGGTAAGTAAAAATATTTAAATATATTTATATGCGTACTTGCGTTTACTAGATTAATTTTATATCAATTTTCAGAGATTATTATATTTATTCCGCATTAACCTTTTCTTTGTTATTTTGCTTTTTCAAACATTCAAAGCTAACTCTATTGGAATACGATTAAAATAACCAAAATGCCTGGACAATCTCAATCTGGTGCACCAGCCTCGTCAGGAGAAAGAATTTTGAGGAATTTAGAAATGGATAGAAGTCGATTTATGGAGGATTTTCAACCAGAAAATAGTAGGAGAGAAAGGCGTAAACGAAGATTGGATAATGCTGGAGCTACAAGCAATGCTCTCTACGATGATAAAGGTTTTTACATCGATTCAGGAAGAGATTTATGTGATTGCTTATCTATTACATGCCCTGGTTGCCATTTCATGTGTCGCAAGTGCAAATCGCCTAAATGTGGAGCTGAGTGTCGAGTTGGAAGAACATGGGATTATGAACAAGTGTCAACCCAATCCATTAACAGTACGAATTTTGTAGATACACGCAAAAATGTTAATCATTGAATGGACCAAATGTTATTCAAGAGACTTCATCTCATATTTTTTGTTGGAAACGTTTAATGCTGATACACTATAAGATCTCAGAAACATGCCCATTAAATTATTTTGCTAAAGAATTACAAGAAAGGGTCATTAATTGGTCAATTTATGAGGCAATCAAAAGAGGGAATTGGTTTTGCAATTTTGTAACCATTGATACTCAGCTGGAAAAAGTTAAAGAAAACAAGGGTAAGAGGAGTGATAAATCTGCTGTAGGCTTTTGCTAGTTCCATCTAATTTAGGCCATTCGAAATGAAAACAATTCAGAATAACTTTGGCGTATTATGCTGAATTTGATAATTGGCGTTTATAAAGTTCGTTAGATAAGACATCTGTATCTGAAATAATGAATTTCAGCTTGCAAATTTGTACGAAGATGGTTCTTGGAATGAAAAATTCAAACATCGATAGCATTTTCTGGGGGAAACCTGTGCATCCGAGGATATTTGCAAACGTATTCATGAACATACACATCAGCATACTCAACTTTTGGTCATTAAATAAACATGCTGTATTAGTTTGATATTTGTATAAAACATTTCAAGCCGCAAAGATGTCCTATGAGTAGATGTGATCTTTGGTCTTGAGTTTACTCTTTACATGGATTTTCATACACTTCTGAAAAAATGTCTACTTCCACTAAAAAAACTTCTGATCAAATATCTACTCACGGATGTTGCTTATGACTAATCGGGCTATTCTGGTTCTCAACATTCTGGTGAGAAATTAATAAAATAAAAATATAAAGCTAAATGAGATTCATATTTTGGGAAGTTTTGTTTTTATCAGTTCGGGAGGCATGCAATTGGTATTAAAATGCATAATCGTAAATCATTAGTTATAACTGGAAAAGATCACCTAATCATGCAAATTCATTTCATCAAAGCTCAGATCGAGAAAGACCCAGGATATGGTTAAGTGTCTTATAAATATCTCATAAGTTATACAATGCTTGGTGAGTTACTCCTTCAAAAATCAAAGATACAGAAAAATTTGTGGAAGCAATAGAGAAAAATTTGCGACAATTGTTCAAATCCATGTCAATGATTATGAACCGTTGTGAGGTTGCTATCCTTATCCCTGAATTTGGTAAAAAAGTCAATGAAGTTTGAGTTTCATAGGATAGTACTGAATAGGAATGACTTGTAGTCATCGTTTAAATTTGGTTTAAACGTGTTTCAAAGAGTTTATTATTGTTCATTGTACGTCAATCAATCGATTCAAACTAAATTTAATTTATGCTCATTAAGTTTACATGGTAACCGGATGCATAACTAATCCACTCAACCATACTTGGGTAAACCTCGACGAGTACGTCTTGAGAAATAGAAAGCTATTTAATTTCTTCTCATTTCTTTTGGTTAACATCTTAATAACATTACCAACCTTAAATTGACAACACGTGTTAAATTAGTCTTTAACCGTCAAGCCAATCATATTTATGGTCTACCTGTTCAATCAATCATTTTGATTCACAGTGAAGTTTGGTTAACATTCAAGACATTTTCTTCCAACAACTCTGTTACTCTTTGGTTTAACTCTACCTTTCTTTCGTCTTTTCCTCTGTCTATTTTCTCTCCCTCTTGCTCTCTTCTTCTTCATTACCAAACAGTTTCATGAAAAGCTTTTTTTGACAGTGTTCTCTTTCTGCTGTTTACTTTGTCATCATCATTGCACTCAATATTGGAAGCATTGAAAACAAAATTAGGTAAGTAAAATTATTCCAAATTTACACTCAACCTCAGGTCTTTTGTCCTTTTGTTTGGTCAAATGAGAGAAATATTTTTATTAGTCAATCTTATGTGAACCTATTCCTTCAAAAATATGATAATTTGTGAATAGCCAAAAAAGTGACTCTCAGCTATCAGAAGCAATGTTTTAATTATTATCCAGAGTAATTACATAAAAGATCTTAATAACACGCCGAGATTTTTGACCCCGATAGCTTTTAATGATCAGCTTTTCCCTTGTGCCCAGGAACTACAGTAGCTGACAATTTTCAATCGTGGGACAACCGTAAGAGGTCACCCCATGAATCAAAGTTGAACATTTGTTTGCTTTTTTGGTTGAAGATCGATGCTTAAAAATATCAACAAAATTACAAAAAGCAGCGACTGACTCAAATAACAATACCAGCAGCAGCAGTGCAACAACAACTGCTTCAAAACCCAAATCCTTAATTAACCTGTTAACCAATAAACAAATTATTCTGTGTTGACTAATATTTAGATCAATCTATTTTCTCTAACCTTTTCCTCTCTTTCTACCCATCTCTTGCTCATCTCATTTTCATGTTATCCTGTTATACCTGAAAATTATCACCCGTACTTAATCGCTTACTTTTTCTAATTACATTTCCTATCTCAGACTTGGCTTGTATTCGCAACTGTACCTTTTATCTACACTGTGAGTACACAAACTAATATGTACATGGTTGTAAAACATCTACCACATTTGAAGAGCAACATTCCGGTTTAAAGTGTGACGTTCATTCAAGAGGAACAAAGAGTCATTATCGGGTGATTGGTTTTTTTCGCTTTCACGGTAAACAATCAGCCTAACGTACGGAAAAAAGAAGGAACATTATCATCATCATCACCACCAACAAGCTTTGTTCTTAATCGTTCTGTTATAACTGACTAATCAGCTTTGACAGAAAGATAAATTCATAAAAAGCAACGTTGCCCAATTCTGTAATTGTATTTTTTATCTGAATCGCCGCGCACAACGAAATATATTAATGAAAGCTTGGACAAGTGAAAAGGATGGGAGCAAAAGCACTATCAACAAAGCTGAAGATGATGAAACTTCTAATGACCTAGACGAAGCTCTCAATGAGCTTGGAATGCTCTCTTCTTTAACACAAACGCGTCGAGAAAAGTGGCTACGAAGACGATGCTACCGGTTTAGTAGTGGTAATGGTAAAAATAGTGCTGACTCCTCTCACTGGTGTTCCCTTTCTTCATCCAGTACGTCATCCTCATCATGCAGTGGTAGCTCTCAAAGCTCTGGAAGCCTCGGTGGCTCCATAGGAAGTCGAAAAAATTCATATTCATCTGCTTCCAATGCCTCTTCTGGATCTTCTACATCCTCTTCATCGTCACCTTATTCGAGCTTAAGCTTCTCTCAGTCGTCCCGCTTATCGATCAATTCTCATCCAAGTTTTGAAGCATCTGCATCTTCAGGATTCCAAAGTAACTGTTGTATTAGTTCCTCAAGTATTTAGTAAGTATTCTTTTACCAATAGACGCTATCCTTTCACCACCTCAACCTGTCACTACTTTTACATCTATTTAGAGAGTATTGCCTTTATCGAGTCCTGTCAAATTGTCTCTTTTCAGCATTTTACCCTTATCCCTGATAAAACCATAATTTTAGCTGAATTTTACCTTTAACCTTTCAATTTTTAACGATTCATTGCCACCCACTCTCATTTATATATCTCTATTCACTATTATCATCCACGCTCTCACCAAGATCATGTCATTCATCATTTTCGCCTTGACCTTTACTTTTCATTTTTTTTCTTTCTGAAGTGATGTGTATCAGAAAATTATTTTAGTTATTTTTTGAATTATGACGAAGTTTCAATTCTGTTGAAGAATAGCGTGAATCAGAACAAATATTCTCATTGATTATTCGATTATATCCGTATTTCTATGTTCTCTGTTATTTAATTCCTTCTCTGTCTTCTTATTTATACAGTGCTAGCCTTGATCTTGTTGGAGATTCATCAAATTTTTCAAACCACAAACTAATGGAGTACCCACGAGTCGCACGTCGCCATCATTTCCATAATCAATGCTACAAACCTTACATTCGGCCTAGGCGATGCAGTCTACAATTTAATCTACAAAAAGAAGAACCATTGGATCTCAATTGGAATCTCCTTAAAGGTCTAAGTCTATCTGATTCGGGCTCATCAGGGACAGGATCTGGAACTGGCACACCTCCTCCGCCTTTTTTTGCCTCTTCGTTAATTCAATCATCATCATCTTCATCATCACCTTCTTCTGCCATCACTGGAACAGCCAATCCCGCTGAGTCTAAATTGCTATGCTCAAGGATTACCTCAAGTATTGCGGACAAAGAAAATAATGCTCTTGAAACCCGGTCCAATCCTAATAGTCCCATGCGAAATCGAAATATCAATCAACTTCTGAATTATACTCATGCACACACCTTGCCCTTAAAGTCTAATCAGCATCACCATTGTTCAACGACTCACCAGCTCGCATCATCAACTATCAACAATCAACAAAATCAACATGCCTATCACTATCATACTGAAATGAATCCATTGGCTACTTCAGCAAATAGTGTCTATGGTTCATTAGCATCAACTCAAGCTGATGGTCCAGTTGCACTTCCAGGAAGTTGTTCTAATTGTGGTAAACCTAGTGAACAAGGATCACTTTTCAGATCTCGATCATTGGATGATCTCAATAGCCTGATACTTCAAGAGGACGTCCATCTCAACCACTCTCACTCTCCATATTGCCCACCTGATGAGGGACTCTTTAATCAGCCAATGTTCTCTTCCGCTTCTTGTGATATCGAGAATGTGCTGCAAAAAATCAGTAGATTGGAGATGTAAAAACATTTATTCCTTCGAGAAAAAATTAATTCCATTGATTATGGCTTATTTTGTGAACAGAGTAAACAAATACCTAAATGCTTATCAAATTCTCATCATCCTGTTTTCCGTCTAAATTGGCATCTCCATCTTTTTATAACTTGTATCTTCTTGATTTGCTGTACTAACAATTTATAGCTACAATGCACAGCTATGGTATAGCCAATTATTTTATTTGTTTCATTTCAAAACAAGTGAAAATTATTTTACTCAGCGTTGGAAAATTAACTTCAGAAGCTGATAAATTAAGAGTGATCTTCTGGATGTTGATTATTTTTATCTTGCATTTACTTAAATTGTAAGATTCACTCAATTTATCTATTGTGCTTTCTGTTTACTTAAAAGTATTAGCATTTTCACTCTACTATTTTTTGTAACCAAATGTTAACAAGCAAACCAAAATGCGTAAAAACAAAACTCATTTCATAGCATAAAAACAAATTAAAATAGTGTCAACTCCTTTAAGGAAAACTATTAATCTTCTCAGTGCCGATGTTGATGTTCATTTTTGTAACTCGAAACAAAAAATATTGTAAAGATACAAATTTCTCAAGCCCATAATTTTAATTTTCGCTGCTTTCCTTTGCTTCTAACACTTGCCAAAGGATTTAAACGAATTATATTATGATTCTAAAATTATAAAGATATTGGATTAACTATTGTAATTGTAATTGATCAAAGTATTTTGATGACAATTAATGTACTAATAACTGTATATGTTTCTACAAGAAATGAATATGTTTGGTAACGAAACGAAGGAGACAAAAAGTAACAATGAATCGTGATAAAAGAAATTAATTTTTGAAATCAGAGCATGTAATAGTAAAAGATGACAACACTATGTTTAATTGTAATCATAATTCAATGTTTAATTGTCAATTAATGGTTTATACATTGATGTTGAATCAAGTTTATATCCAAATCTTTTACCTATTTATTTGTAGTTAACCATTTTCTTTAAAATTAAACGGCAAAATATTCATCGATAAATGATTTATGGTAAAATTTACTAATCCAATTATTTAAAATTCACATTGAGAATCAATCGATCAATTATCAATCAAATTTCCATGCAAGGAAACAAAATGTGTGTTCAACGGATAAGGCCACAATTCAAATTCTGCTAAAATTATTCTATTGCTTAAAATTAAGTGATTTATTAATAAATTTGTAATAATTACTCATACAGACTAAATATTATTTTTAAAGATCCATAATATTCATTAGCTTTAGTCTTCCCTGGTGTTTCATTTTTATTTTGTGACTTGGAACTTGATATTGATTGTTTTTGGCCAATAAGAGGATATTATTGAGCTTATCTTAATTAGTTTGAATTGAAGATAATTTTTTAAGCTGATTTCTGGCCATGATTTAGCAATGCATTGCTGAAAGTGATAATTTGTTTGTCTTCATGAGAGTTGTATTTTGTATTATTGCGCTTTCTGCCTGTCTGTTGAGTGAAAACACCATTTTGTTTTCATCATCTTCACCATCATCATCTTTTAGTTTACACTTTCGCTATCATGTTGTTTAATTTAAACCATTGTAACAATTTTTATATCAATCGTGTTTATTGTTCCTTCCATTTAATTATTATATCAACTAATCAATCTGGACCTGTTTCAGTAGTTCTGTTTTGAAATGAGCCTTTCTTTTGACCTTTTCTTACTCTAATCATTCATTTGATTTTGTCTCTAAAATTTTTTCTCTTTTTGTTATGCTATTTTCCTTTGCTTCTCTCTTATTTCTTCCTATCTTGTAGCTCCTTAACGAGCAAATTTAACAACCCATCTTTATGCTGGTTTTGTCTTCTCGTTTTCTCGTTTTTTCATTTTTTTGACCTTTCTTTGACTCTCTTCTGTCACTTACCCTCTTACCTTCCTTTTTGGTTATCCCTTTAAATCAACAAAGACTACCAGGAATAGCTGTGAACAAAATAGAAATGGCTACCACCGGTATCACACATTCTTTGATTGCTAATAATTTTGGTGGACCTGTTAAAGATGTCCACAACAGTGTATCTGCTCTAACTGCTCGTGAATATGGGTATACAAGTAATCTCTCTGTGGCTCAAAATCAAACAATTGACTATCTAATTAGAGCTCGTTATCGTAAAGCAACTGGACTATATAGCAAGGATCTTTATGCTCATTATGGATGTATTAATGCTATTGAATTTAGCAACAATGGACAACTTATGGTCTCAGGTGGTGATGACCGTCGTGTTTTATTATGGAATGTTGAGAAAGCCTTGTCTGACAAAGACAAGCCTATTGTTATGAAAGCTGAGCATACGTCAAACATTTTTTGTCTTGGTCTCGATTCAGATAATCGTCATATCTTTTCAGGAGGTAACGACGAACAAGTTATCATACATGATGTTGAAACTAGAGAGCCTCTGAAAGTGATTCTTCATCGAGAAGTGGTTTATTGTCTTTCCGTTGATCCTCAAAATGATAATTTATTTGCCACTGCTTGTGATGAAGGAAGAATATTCTTGTTTGATCTTCGCGTCCCTTACAATATGGATAATTTACCAGTGCTTATACACACTCGATCCGCTTTCCAATCAGTTATGCATAATCCTGTTGAGCCCAGACTCATTGTCACTGCTAATTCAAGGGAAGGAGTGAGTCTCTGGGATATTCGTAAACCTCGTGTTGACCTAATCAAATACAATGGAGGCCTAGTTACTTCGCAAAGTGCTATGTCTGTTCGTTTTAATTCTAATGGATCTAAGATTGTTGCTCTAAGACGTAGATTACCTGTTATCCTTTATAATACACTATCGCCTCATCCAATCGCCGAGTTTGATGACAAAGATTATTACAATTCTTGTACTATGAAAAGCTGCTGTTTTGCAGGCTCAAAAGATGAATATATTTTGTCTGGATCAGATGATTTCCGTCTTTATATGTGGAAGATCCCTGATGAAATATTGGAAAAAGACTTCTCTTCTGATGGAATCAAATGGGTTGATCAAACCCATCTTATCCTACGAGGACATCGCTCAATAGTTAACCAAGTTCGATACAACTATTCCAATTCAACAATTGCTTCTTCTGGGGTCGAGAAAGTGATAAAAGTTTGGTCAATCTTTGATATTTTTGACCCTAAAGAAAGTGATCCCAAAAACACCTGTAGTCTTGATGACCGTAAAGTTTACAGTCATGAAGAATATATTCAGTTGGTACTCGAAAGTGGCCATCTTGCTGCTCATGATTACAGCAACCAATCAGTCCAAGAAGATCCTCGTATGATAGCTTTCTTCGACTCACTCGTCCAACGAGATATCGAAGGGCTAACAACCGATTCCAATTCCGAAGATTCTGACTTTGCCTCAAGGTTCAGCTTGATTACTAGAAATCATGCTCGTATTGAATCTCTATCAGAACTATCTTCAAGTGACGAGGAAAAGGAACTTTTACATCTTTGTGATGACCAAATCGTTGGTTACATTAAATCATTCAGTGAAAGGATGGAATCCTCCGTTAACAGACTTTATGGAACTGATTCTAAATCTTCAGCTGTTGTGCCAAATAGTAAGAATGCTGATAGCAGTAAAAGTGATTCTAACAATGCTGTGAATGATAATCAAAATAGTAATGACGTTTTGTGTAAGCCAAGTACATCTTCTGCTAGGCCCTCTTCTTCAAGTCTAGCAACTAGTTCTTCGTCGTTATCAGCCTCAAGAAGTCAAGCTACTGATTCAAACAATGACAATATTGATGTCGATGCAAACAAAATATCCATACTCATAAATGAAAAGAAGAAAGAGCAACTACGCAAAGCAACTCGGTATGCTCTAAAGTCTACTAAAATACGGTTACGACGACTCAAGAAACACCTTGCTCGTGACAAAGAGGAGAAAAGCAAAGCTTGTGATAAAACTAGTGGCTTGAGTATTGAAGATAAAGAGCGACGTAAAGAGCAGTTGGAAGGAGTGCTTGAAATCCTAGAAAGGTTAGCACAAAAGGTTGACAATGGACTGAAAAATAACCGTGGACATTTGCACAAGATGATGGTTCGATTGCGTTATCTAGCTAATCGAAATAATTTCCTCTGGAGAGGTGGCAGTCCAGAAAGTCCACTTGGTTTTGATTCAGATGATGATCCTCCATTGATTGGAGGTAATGATTTACTTAACGAAGTTCGTATGGCACACAGACTGGCTGACCTTTTGACCGATGGCATTGTTGAACATCTGTCTCTTGAAGATGATGATGATGAAGATTCGTTAGTTGAGGATAGATCAATTTCTACTGATTCAACCTGTGGTTCGGATGGTGAGAAGTCAGCTAGTAATTCGACTGATACTAGCATAAGCCAGATTAAGTCTCCTGACACGAATAGAAGTCAAACTAAGTCTCCAGACTCCAACAGAAGTCAAATTAAGTCTCCAGACAGTTCAACTTCAAGTTCATCCGATGAAGATCTTAACAAGAGACAACGACGCCGTAAAGCATCCGAAAGAAGACGCAACCTTAATAAAAAGTGTGTTTCTAATAAATATGTTGATAGCAGTAGCTCCAGCAGCAGTAGCAGCAGCAGTGATAATGATTCCGAAGCTGAGGAACCTGAAAAACGTATTCTTCCCATGGTTAACTTGCGTTATGATGAAGAAAGTGATGATGCTGGTTTCGATGGAGACACCGAGTCAGCCAAGAAAAAGAGTGCCAATGGAGCGGTTAAATCAAAGGCACCAATCTCTAATAATAATAGCCAAGAAACAGCATCAACATCTGCAAATGATCAATTGAAAGACCTTTCAAGCAATCATGATGATGAAAAAAGTGACGATATAAATAATAATAAAAATTTAAATAGTGATACAAAGGAAAAGGATCATCAAAATCATGAGTCAGGACAACCATCAAAAGTCAATAACGTTACCATCAAAACTGTAAATAATACTGGAAAGTGTTTCCGCAAACGCAAAAATCTCGAATCTAACTCTGAAAAAGTTGTTTATAAGTCAATCAAACGCAAACATGATTAATATCCCTATTATCAATATTTGTATATATATACATAACAAATGAACTATGAGTATATATATATTATTACATAAACAATGCATTTGTACAAAATCATTTTCTGATATTTTAGCAAATCTTCTATTTCTCGCTTCATAATTAAAAACTAGGAAGCTGTGATCGTCGGTTTATATTTCTCAAGTTTCTGGTTAACAGATTATAACCATACTGGATCATTATGCTCATAAAACTCTTCTGCTTTCATTCAATTTCACATTATCAGTAATATATCGGGAGTAATAATATTATTAATAGTTATTCTTTAGATATTACGAAAAATTTTCTCACGATTCAGGTTTCATGAGCTGCTCTTTAGCGTACTTTGTTGGAATTATTTTTTTCTAATTACCTTAATCTCTTCCATCGCTATTACTGTTTTTAGATGAATAAAGTGAGGGCTGAAAATAATTAGACTTTTCTGAAAATTTTGAAAGCTTCATTTCATTGTCACAGGATTTTTAGACAAACAGGAATTTAACCAGGAATTTCAAATTTTCAATACCTCGAGCATGCGTTTTGTTACTTTTTTCTTGTCTTCAATAAATGCCTTTTTGGTTTTTGTTATTTTAGTAACAATATGATTGAATGTTTATTTCCATGATTATCGTGTATTAATTTATTTTAAATTAGTCAATTCGAGTTAAAATCTCAACTGCTATCTAATTTAGTCATGGTTTACATCACCACTTTAAGGAGACTTCCAAATCAGCTCTTACGTGATAAAAGCTATGTGAGCAGTGCTCATCCAAAATCGCATATCAATTTAATTAAACATGCTATTCCAGACTGTGAAAGTGATGCTGAAAAAAGGTATCGAAAATTATACGAAGACAATCAATTATGGAATCACTGTTATTGGGAGGAAAACAATACGAGATTTCTAAAGGTATGTAATAGATAAAAGCTTTACACGTTACTCATGGTCTATTTCTCACTCCATTTTTGCCCTTTGTTTACTCTTTCTCTAGGAAAAGGCTGAGTTCATCGAAAGACAACGTCTTTTGAGAGGCGATGGTTCTTTGGCATTCTCGCAAGAAGATTTAATGCCATTCTACAAAGAATTTTTAGATAAGAATTATAATAAACACATATCTTACAACAGGTAATGTTGATTTCTTGGCCTGTTGAAGCTAAACTAAAGATTGATCTACCTTTACAGAGAATGGTATCGACGGCAGTTCCGACTTCTTTTGCCTGCCTTAGCAGCTTTTATTGCTTCTAAAAGAAGATCTCTGAGAAAATCTTTCTCGTAGTTGGTTTGAATACAGGTAAGAATCGTTTGTTCTTATATTCCAACATCCGCACTTTTCTCTGGAATCCCTCTTAATATAATGAGATGCGATTTTCGTAGTGTGCGTAGATAAATTTGAAATAACAGGGCAAATAAGCTTTTAGATCAAAGCTTTTTTGGTAGTATATGTTTCTAACAATTTTTCTGTCTCTTTCTAGCATCACCCCCAACAGAGTTCAATGGCTGGATTCAAATATTCAATGCGCTCCAATATTTAATGTTTATAATAGTGTAATCATTTTTGATAATTTGTAATTACTCTAAATTGACCTTTGAAATGTTAAATAGTAAAATAGTTTATTTAAGACAAGACCGTTTTAGAAATAAACCAAGCATAGCTTGAATTTGTTATTGTTTTGTATTCTATATGTTTGAACTCTTTCATTTAGACTTGAATTCAGAATGATAAACAAAAAAACCGTTTTTATTTCTACTAAAATATAAAATGGACATTCGAATGTATCAAACAAATAATAGAGAATCTCGATAATATTGTTGATTACCTTTTGACAACAGATTTACAAAAGTTGGATGGACATGAGGATTGCCTCAATACTTTGACCCACTAGAAAAACTACACTTGTAGCAATTATTAAAATTTAGTGACAAAAGATCTTTGGTGGAATATTTGTAAATCAAATCATATTAAACTAGTTTTGCGAGTGAATTTGAACAAAAAAGGACGAAGATCAATGTTGATTTTATATCAGTTCATGTGTTTCCTTAATATATACGCATCGTCAAGTAGATTTTAAGTAATGGATTCCGCCGACGTCACCGTCACACCGTGATTATTTTACATATTTTGATTTGAGGTTCAATAATTTATCATGGATCACCTGATCATCATCATCATCTATTTTACAAGCCAATCCTTTCTCAATCCACTCGGTTGCTTCTTTTGTTCGTTTAAGTGAAATTAATGTTTTACAGATGTAATAAATATTTTGTTTCCATTCGGGTTTGATCTTGTATGCTTGGAGCAAAGATTGTAGCGCTTCATCGGCACTGGTCTCAGGGACTTGAGCAAATAAACTTGATGCTAATTTTTTCTCCAACCAAGAAAGATTAGAAACTTCACTAGCCCATCTTCCTAGTAAATGGTGCAGAGTAGCATCATCAGGCTTAAGATTCAATGCGAAATCTAAATGTTTCTTGAATTCATAACCATTCTCTATTTTTTCCTTGGTACCAACGTAATCAGTTACAGATCCTATGGCTATAGCGTACCATTTGTGACACTCAACGCAATTTTCGTCAAGTTGGAGAGCTTTCTTAGCATATTCAAGCTTCTCATAAACTAATTCCTTTTTTCTTTCCTTATTTCCTTGTTTCTCCGCAGCTGATCCCATAAGATGACAAACCTTAGATTTACGCCACATTATCTGAGCATTGCAGCCGAACTATGAAAAGTACAAAAGTTAGAATACAATTAGAATAACATCTTTTTTAAACTAAACGTTAGCTAATTCTTTATCAATTTCATATCAAATGAATTTGAACAGCTTGATATTGATATGAAATTGGTAAAGAAATGGTTGGAGTTTCACGGACAAATTTTGTTTACCTTTTTTTCTATTGCACATAATTTGTCGTAAAGACTTTGAATATCTACTTTAGGATTATCAATACAGGAATCAATTTCTTTAAAATGGTCTTCTTGACTGTGCTCAACGGGTTCAGTTTTTTCAGGTAACTCTGCATGTTGTGCAGGAAGTTCGAGTTCTTCTTTTGCATTAAGATGTTTAGCAGCATAATTATCAACAACATCACCACTGGGTTCACCATTAGAATCATCTTTGGCTCTTATTATTCCAGGCTCTAAACTAATATTATTATCACTGTAATAATGGAAAAGGGTATTAGAAATGGTCAAATGATAAATTGAATAAAAGTAAATAAAGTAAATCACCAACCTATCATTGAAATCAAAAAATTCTTCAGTCTCATCAGATGATGTATAGGGATCCGAGTTGATAGGCTCAAACCTTGTTTCCTCCGATCTTAATGGTTTTCGGTGAAGATGGTGATTAAAACGAGATTTTGATTGTTGGTTCATTTCAATATCAACGGCATCCAATTCAGCTTCCAGATGATCTATGTCCAAAGGTTTCATGGAGTAAGGTGAGCCTCTCATTGAAGCAATCTTGATCTCCTCAACATCCTTCCGTAGTTGTTCAACTGTCTCATTAAGAATATCTAATTTGGATGCTAACAATTCACGAGCCTTCTTTCGGCTATCAGTTGATTTAATTTTACTATAAATACCAGCAACTGTAGCAGTCAAAGCAATACCAGCTCCAAAGGCAGCAATAACAGAAAATTTTTCTCTTCCAACTTGATCCATGCTTGTTATAATTCCCATTTAATTGATCGAGAACAAAGTAATATGATAAAAAAAAACTATTGTATTTCAATAATCAATTAAGCAGCAAGATGTGAAGAATTAATCGATGTTTCCAATCCACCATTGATTAGATAAACTGGAAATGGTACAGCCATGTTCACAAAAAGATTGTATTATTTTCTTTAGGTCCAAATATCAAATCAACCGTTGTAGCTCCAATCATCAGTCCATTGAATGTACACTCATAAATATAGATCAATTATGACAAATTTAAAAACAATAAACACAGGTAATATTTACATGGGAATTAAAATATTTATGTGGATCAATGGAGCTGTTTACAGCTTACAACTTGCTCAACAAGCCTTGTAGCAAAGCTTTGCTACAGTCTCATTTTGCTGATGAAGTTGAGTCTGGATTTTCAGGTTACACCTTCTTCTCTTTCTTTTGCTCACTTTCTAATCATTCATATATAAATTTTTATAATCAGATAAATTAATGAATAAACTCGAATTTTTCCTCAATGTTCAAGCTATTTAATAACTAAAAAACAGTTTGTGACAGCCAATAGATATGAGTAGATACTGTTTAAATCAGGTAAGGCTGGTAGACTAATTGCAATGTTAACAGTTTTTTAGTGAAAAATTATTTGGAGAATTCACTTTAATTTTGAATCATGACAATTTGACTATATTTAAAGGGTTTTGAGTACAATTATGAATTGACAACTCACTTCAGCACGCTAATTTTGAAAATTGTTATTGATGCTGAATTAAGATTTCTTTATCAATAAGTCAATTGTCATGTTTTAAATCATTAACATTGAAACAAAGAGTGAAGAATAATAATATTTGCGATGTGATAAATTATAAATAACTGTGATCACCGATTAGGCTTTTCATTCCTAATTGTTAAAAGTTAAAGTATAAGTGTTAAAATTGTTAATTTAATTCTCGTATGCTTTTGCACAAAACTTCACATGAAATCAAAAATGTTTCAAGTGAAAGTTCAATAAAAAATGAAATCCATTACTGATGACCAACTGAACTTAAATGAGGTTATCTAAATCAAAAGTACACTTCCGATCACTCTTCATGTTGATCATTAAGTTTGATGACACATAAACGAAACATGTTTTAATCGCGTAAATACGTTAACAATTATCAGTAAACTGAATTGCATAACTTGGAATGGCAACTAAACTATCTTTTAGTAATTTGATTGTGCCTATTGTACAATAGCCACTGGCTCTCCTCTCGATTCTAACATTAATAGTGTTTAGTAAATCAACTACTTGTTTCATCTTTATCGCATAGTTTTTGCTATTTTTGTTTTATTGTTTTCTGGTTCGCTAAATAAACTATGAACTTTGAGATTCAAGATGAAGAGTCATTCCATAATAATTGATCATTGACTCGAGAAATTTGTTGATAACCTCTTACAATTAGCCTTGTTTAAGAAGTCTTGTTCTTGGAGTTACAATCACTTTTACATCTTTCGGACTAGAAACAGGCTGTCCTATGTGATAGTCTAAAGGAATCTGAACGAAGTAATGAGAAAGAATTAAAATTAAATTCATCATGGAACGAAATCAATTTAACTAACCTTGGTTTCCAAAGAAACACTAAATCGATAATGAGTCAACAACGAAATCAAACAGATTTTGATCTCAAGCATAGCCAACCTCTTTCCAATACAACTCCTAGGTCCAGCAGCAAAAGGTAAAAATACGTCTGGAATGATTGTCTGCTGTTCGCTGTTATTGTTCAAAAATCGTGTTGGATCAAACTGGTCAGGGTTTTTGAAAAAGCTGGGATCATGATTTATTGCATAACTTGGAATGGCCACTAAACTATCTTTTAGTAATTTAATTGTTCCCAGTGTACAATCGCGACCGGCTCTCCTCTCGATCCTAACATTAATATTACAATGTATTTACAAAGATTTAAACAAAATATCATGCATTAGAAAGTAATAAATATTAGAAATATTGTTTTCAATTAGCGAGAACAAATTGTTACTCGATCTAGATTAAATGAGATATCATACCTTGGAACAACTGGGAAATAACGTTGAACTTCATGAATAACAGCATTTAAATAATCAAGAGAGTTGATTTCTTCAATGGTAAGCTCTGTTCTTTCCAATTGTAGGTAAAGAGATTCAAGTTCATCAACAATCTTTTGTTGGTGTTCAGGAAATATTGCCAAACAGTAGATAATTAAACTCAAAGTAGTTGCGGTTGTATCATAACCAGCAATTACCAACAAAACTCCATTGTCGATTACGAATTTTTCTAATTAATTATAACAATAGCAAATAACAAAAATAACATAAAAATTAGCGGTTAAAAATAAAATTTAAAAAAGGGGGCTGCATTATAATTGCAAATATAATTCACCGTCAATACTTGATAATAAAACTGGTTAAGCAACTGGTTAGTTAATTGATCAAATTGACCGATCATGATTTATATAATTCCTATAGATTTAAATCAACAGTTCTGTATACCAAAACTAATAATACATTGTCTGGTTGATTGAATCTATTTTGATACAAATTTTCATTTTTAAATTTTTTATGCAACCCTTGAAATACTGTAAGTTTCATAGTTCGTTTACCTATTAATGTATTTTCCTAATCACTAACATTATTCAAAGGTTGACTTACCTTTTGTTTCATTGTCGAGTTCCTTGTCTTTTATTTTAATTTGTGCCTCATCAAGCAATGTGACAAAATTTTTATTCACCGAATCAACCTGATTTTCATTTGAATTGGTTTGGCTTTTTAGCAACCTGGAACGATCAAAGATCTTTTGAACGATTGATTTCAAATAGGTTAGAATCTCGTACTGGAAAACATAGAGATTCAAGTGTTTGATTAAAAAGGGAAACCATAGAAGGATAATGGACTTGATTGATATATGATGGCCAAAAAAATCTGAAACAATCGTAGCAACATCATTTGTTTTATCACTGTCAAGACATTCAATGCCAAATGCGGTGGATGCCAAAACATCCAATGAGTAAGCTCCCATCATTTTTTTCATATCAACCGTTGAACTTATCTCGATTTGCTTTCGGAGTTTTTCAATCAAACTGGAAGTACATCTATCAATCGAGGGTTTCATCTTTTTAAGATTGCCAGTGCTAAATAAAGATGTCATTATTTTACGGACGCATTTCCATTCATCGTTTTCCAGCGCAACTAAGCTTTTTCCTGAGATTTGGTCACCATCATAAAAAATCTGGATATTTATTGATTTAAAGATTATGAATCTCATTAGCATCCTCATGGTTACTGGAAAACATCAATTACTTACTCTATGGTTTGGAAATTTATCAAATTCTTGGACTAAAACCTTTCTAATGTACTCAGGTTCACCAATCATTAAACATGGACGGAAACCTTCAAAGAGTCTAAAGGAAATACTCGATTATTTGTTAGTATAAATAATGGTTATCTTCTTACCCAAAAACACGTCCTAATTTTGTATAAGTATCTCTGTCAGCGATATGGAGTGGCCTAGTATAGCGAGTGTAAGCAGATTTGATTAGTGACTCATGGGGAACTCCTTGGCGACTCCAGAATGTAAACCGATGAAAAAGCCAAAATAGTACCATAATCAACAAAACAATCAATAAAAAGGAGATGATCGCCATTTTGATTACTAATTTGGTTGTAAAGTTGAAGCTGTTGACAATACTTGGTTAAGCTATGCTTATATTTCACGTAAAGATCGATGCGAGTCTAACATGGTTGAACAAAATTAACCAACTGATTTCCTGATCTGAATCACCTTATATACAAACAAATCTTTTATTTTAGGAGCAATGCAAATGAGTTTGGACATTTGTCTTTGATAGATTACCCAAGACTCTGAAACCAAGAGACAAAATTAAATTCAAGTTTCCTGGTGCATTTTAAAATCAATTAGGAATCGGATACATAATTGGAAATACAAATCTATTCAAAGACAACAGGAAAAGAAGAGTAAAGAATCGACAAATCCTGAAATATGAAGCAGAATCAACAGTTGTCCAGCTTGCTATTTTAAGCCACAAAATGAACCGTTAGATATTTTAAAATACATAGTCTGACAGTTTAATTATTTAAGAATGCAATTTCATTTAATCAATCGGAAAAGGTTACGTGACAGTCAAGAGAATTAAATATCTAATGAATTCGGTGAGTTTACTGATCAAGTGGTTAAAAGATGACAATGATTGTTTGAAATGATCAAATCACTCGTCTTGATGATGTCAATAATCTCAAGAATTGAACAAAGTATTTACATTTAAGACAACTATTAAGGTACACTTTTGATGATAACCATTGATCACTTCTAATTTAAGGATATAACTATTTATCCTAAGTGTTTGATTAAACAGCAACATATATCAATACTTTTGTCTCATTAAGCAATTAGATGAGCGTTTCCAGTTCAAAGATGCGAAGTCGAAAGACATGAAAACAGTTAAAAGTTAATTTACAAACTGTAAATTGTTATATTTCAATCAAAGTTTTCACTCACTTTTCCGACTATTAACTCTCTTCTTATCTTGTTGGGTTGCTTTTTACAGTCATTGAAGGTTAATTTCATCGAAACCACTTCAATTGATTAGAGATAATCTTTTCTAGTATCATCATTCTTGTTCAACTGAGCCGATAATTGGAGAGTTGGAAACATCTTATTTCTTAATATTGATTGTTGAACATTGTGCTGAATCAATGAATTAACATAGATTTGTTTCTCTTTTGTGCTAACCGTTTCAAATCTTGTTAATAACAAATTAGACTTACTTTTAATCCATTAACTACCAGTTACTGTAGCAGCTAATTGTGAAAAGTGTTTACAACAGTAAATACCGAAAATGTTAAATATTTTTAAATTGGCAGTGTTAATGCTTCTTGTGAAGTGTGTAACCAACGATGGTGAGTAAAGTTAATTGTTCATCATTTTTACCCAAATATAATTCAATTATTCAACAACCTTTTTACAACAAATGATGGCATTTTGGATGAAAAAGCTGGCTCAATTGACCGAGGTTTTCAGGATGTCAACTCGACCACCACTTTCAATATTATTTTTTGTGGCTATTTTCATAATTCCTTGATTTATTTAAGTCTTGTTGGAAACAATTAGCCATTAAATTTTCAATAGTCCAGCTATAATTAGTCCATCTGTGTAAAGTACCAGCTGAAACCAATGTTGTCTTGAATTGACAGTTTTTATTTTACTTGGTTTTGATAGTATTTCAGATTGATTATGTTTAACATTGTTGTTGCTTTTGTCTTTTTGCATTAATTTTAAGCAGAAATGCTTCGACCCAATCTGGATCGTTACCTAATTGCTGAAAATTGTATCAATCATCTGCAAAATCAAATCAACAGGGAATTACATGCAAGTTTGGTTTATCTTAATATGGTAAGTATTTTGTGTTTGAGTCAATCGATTTGTCTCTTTAACATGAAATTTCAATTTACTTTGTCCATCAGGGGTCCTATTTTGGTCAAAATTTAGTCGCAAGAAAAGGTTTTTCCAAATTTTTCCATGACGCATCAAAGGAAGAAGGTGATCATGCACGAAAATTAATAGATTACATGAGTCGAAGAGGAGCCAAAGTATCAACTTTCGATGTTGAGGTAATAAAGTCAAATAGATTTTTTCTCAGCTTATCTCAGTTGAAGTAATTGTTTTATCTTTCAATCTTATTTAGATGCCAACCAAAGATACATGGCCTGATGGTAAAACGGCTCTTGAAGATGCTTTAAGTCTTGAGACCAAAATCAACAATGAAATTCACAAGATTCACTACAAAGCTGAACACGAGTGCAAAGATCCTCATGTAAGTCTATTTCTATCAATTTGATGAACAAAGAAAGCTTAGGAGAAACATTGTTTAGTGAATTTTTTCTTGCGTTTTCCGACCGATTCTTACTGTTGAATGGTTAAATTGTTGTAATTGTAATTGTATTCCTTTCCGTTTCCATTCTATGTTCCTACAAATAGCTTATGGATTTCCTTGAAACTGAATTTATGGAGGAACAAATTGATTCAATCAATCAACTTAAACGTCTTGTCTCCATAATTTCCAAAATGGATTCAGGAATGGGTGAATATCTATTGGATCGTCAACTTTTATCAGGTTCAGTTGGTAAAGACGAGCTTTGAACTCTTCAATAAAAGTAAAAGCGAAATCATTACTGTAAATTAGCAAGAGTAAAATTTTAGATTCTTGATGATTCTATTATAATGTTAATTGATACTTGGTAATGCACTGAGATTAATCCACTTTGCTTCAATAAAAATCATTTACAAAATGAGATTTAATTTTCTTCGAAGGGACTTTGTAAGTGCGATTCAGTCATCAAACTTACAAGCAAGTGACATATCAAGACTGATTTCAAAAGATAATTTGGTTCATGATTTAATATAAACAAAGGTTCTAGCGTTTTATTGGTCAATAATTACGTCTGCATCTCGGTAATTTTGCAGTTTTCCAATAACGGGAAAAAATGTATTACACTAGGTATTACACTTAAAGGGTAAAAAATATTTAACGTTTTGTGTAATAATTTGGTGAAATGGAATGCAAATGCTTAAAATCTCAGTTAAATGCTTGATTTTTTTCTCTTTGATGCGCTTTAATTTTGGAATTGGGATGTTTCTCGACTTTTTAGCAGTTCCTTTCGTCATCTTTTCCTCTAGATACTAAGGCATCTGGGTTAGCCAAGGGGTCAAGTTCAGCAAATAGATTGAACCAATCGTTCTTTTTATTGTCTTTAGCTTGACTTGCTCCAGAGTTTCGAGATTTATTCTGCAAAAAAAGAAGAAAACGTAATTTTTGATAAAAATTGATTTATAAGGATCAATTATAAAACATAAATAATATCCACACAAGTATTAATCAAATTTTGATTGAATAATGATAAGCTTCTAATGTAATGATCATTATGAAAGGTTTGGTTATGAGAACTGTTTTCATCAAAGCCTGCAAAGCATAAACCTCTAGATTATCCGAAATTGTGTGAAAAATATGAGCTTCAATTGAATGACTGAGTTGCCTTTTAGATTGAAACTTAATGAAACAATTTTTAATTGAAGACAAACCTTTTCTTCAAGTAAACTGGTATCAAGAGATGAAGATCCTGATGCAGCATTTAACAAATTAGATTGTTTAATATCCATCAAATGACTTGGAAAGAAACTGTCCATGGGGGATTGCTGAATGGTTTGTTGCTCTTTAACAGGCTCAATGGAAAATATATCACTGAGTAAATTATTGTCATCTGATTTGGATTGAGAATCAAGAAGATCTTGAAATCGCTGTTTCCTGCTTGCTTCAATAGGCGAAGGAAAAATGTCCATGTCTATCAACTTGACATCGCCATCATTATTCTTGCTGTTTCTATCTTTATTATCACTCTTTTTGCTGAATAGTGAATAATTGTGATTCTTGTTAATTCCCGATGTACACTGGCGGACTTTTGTCGATTCATCTGAGAGATTTCCTTTGGTATCATCGTCATGATACTCTGATTCAAAAAAGATGAGTGAATCTTTATCTTCTTCTCCTTCAGTAAATATTTTACCCAATGTAAAACTATTGTTATCCTCTTGAGCCAATTTTTTACTTGTTTCAGTCAAATCTTTAAGAAAACTAAACTCATAATGTTGATAACCTTTGAAATTGTCAGATATAGCTTTCATAGCTTTAGATGATTTTTCCCAGAAGGTTGAAAAATTTTTCTGGTATAAGACTAAAGCGTGGCTGAACATGTTACATCTTGATGCACTCAACATGTCAATCTTTTGAAGAGTATCCAACTTAAGCTTATCAAATCGCGACTTGGTACGTCTAACTTGCCCTTGGACTTTACGAAATTTTTCCAATTGTTTGTATGTATCAGGATCTAATTGTTGAGATAAATCTTTCATCCATAGGAGTGCAGCTCTGTAGGCAAGTCTTGCTTTTTCCATCTTCTCAATGGTAATCATGGTATCAGCAATAGCTCGATACTGGAATGTTTCAACCTCTTGATAAAGACGAACTAAAGGGTTTCTCAATTGTATCCTTTGTTGAGCAGTATAACACAATGTTTTACCAGAGGCTGTCATCATCTTACCAGCTCGAGTTTTGTCAATCTTTCCACATTCCTTAAGAAACCGGCCAGTTGAGTTTTCCTCATGGGCCAAGGTACACAGTCGATCTTGATAGCCTTCCAGGATACATAATAAAGAACAGCATGTTTCTTCAATGGAACGAAAAAGCTGTGGAGAGAGAAAAAGATGTTCAGTTATAAAAGCTGAAAATATCGTATGTTTACCATGAATAGCCAGCTGACAAATGGAACCAGTAAACACAATAAACCGAAATTATTGTATTACTCATTTTTTATTTTCAAATCAACTGATGAAAATTTCACCATCGGAAACCTTGTCAGAGTAAAGACATGACAATGTTTAGATAACAAATGAATGGCTTTACATGTTTGCTCACTGATTAGCAAATGCAATTTACAGGGTGTTCAAACACGTTATCATTCTATGAAAATTATTTCGCTAATAAAAATAAAAACAATTAAGATTTAAATAGACTCACCTCTAGTTTAGCATCCAATGGCGCATCAGAGGCAACAACACAATCATCTTCTTTTCTCTTCAATTTACTAATAAATGTTTGCTTAGCTTCCCAATATCTTTGTTGCATCTTTAAGAAGGTTGAATCATCTTCACGTCTATCTTCTCTCTCGACAAATTTATCAAATTCTTGGCCAGAAATTCCTGGCTTTGGGTTGTTGGCAATATTGGTTGACATTATGTGTCTATTGAATTATTCAGGCTTAATATTATACAGGAATAAACTGGTTATAGAAACGGTAAATGCGAGAAAATACAAAAAAATAAAATGTGACTTAATGTAACCATATGGTTGGAATGAAACAATTTTAAAAATATAAATAAAATGATAACAATAAATTCTTACCATATGATGTTAATATTGGTTTATTTTATCTTTCCCAGACCAGTATAAAACAGATTTATTATGATGAGCTTGCAGCAAATAGATAAGGTTCACCATGAACCGTTAATTTTACAAAAACATTGCACTGATTATTGATTTTTGATTGTTTTAATATTTTATTGATTTAATTTAATCAATCACAAAAACAGAATAACTGTTAAACTAATAAAGAAGACACGTTACACAGAAAAATATCTGCTGAGGGTAAAATCGAGATGCTATGAGAATGGAAATTTGAAAGATAGAAAGAGAAAGGTAACATCTGTCTACATGACTCTCTGGGCTTGCCATGTTTGATTCAGCAATCAGGTCGAATCCTATCAAGTTCAAAAAAACTTTGAGTATTGGAAGAATTAAGACTTTCATTATTATCACCAGCAATAATGTAATAAATATTAAACTCAAAGTTCGATGTAAATAATTTTTTCAAAATAATGCGGTCATTCGTGATTTACGTTTCTAAATTTACTTGTTGACACAATTTTCAGGTTCAATCTCTCAACTTAATACCGTAGGATGCATTAGTTTACACATTTACAAAAAACCAAAATCAATTAATTAACCGATCTTAACCGAATTTTAAAATTTTATGTAAAGCAACTGAATTGCAATTATTAGTCTGTTGATGAGCCATGATATTTGGAAACATTCGCTATATTGAAATACTGATTGGGAGGTGAATGAACGATGATAAAACATCTGAAAATTGAAAATTTGGTTCATTCCTTGAAACCTTGAACTAATCAGTTTTTTCGCTAATTTTCCAGAGCTAACCTAAGCTAATTCCTGCTCATATAAATCGATGATATCGTCCACCTTATGATTGCCATTTTAAGATTGTTTTGCTTTCATAAAATTTCAAATTTTTTACGTCAGTTTGAAGCTATTTTCATAACCGAAAATGATCTATAAAATCGTGTTGAAAAATTTCATAAAAAATAGTCAAAATATTTATTTAAAGCTTTGAATTTGAATTATCATTAAATAATGGTGATGATCAGTGATTATATGAGCTCCGAACTTTCGATTGATGATAATTTTTTCATTGTAAATCAACAATCTCACTCGCTTGTTATAAGGTGTAAAAAGAGATGATGCAAACAAATTTGGATTAGGAAAATGGTGCTGATTTCAATTGGATTTGATTTCAAAATTCAATCGATAAATTGTGTCAATTTGATTAATTAAGCTTCCCTAATGCGCTCGTGATCAAGACTTACAAAAGTTGTATGTTTTTCATCTCTGTGTAAGATTTAAACTCACCGCCTGAAAAGTTATGCTATGGAGGAGCCACTGATTTAGAAAGCCTTTATTTTGCATTTGAATAATTGTAAGGGAAATTTTACTAGTCACAGCGTTTCGTATAATTTACCTTTAATAAAATTTTCAAGAATTACTGAATTCTGATTAACCGTCTCGGCTTTTTCTTGTTTCACTTTTTCACTCTCTCTTTCTACTCTTTCCCTTGATTTCTGACTTTAAAATATACCATTAAACTCTTGGAGTTATAATTTTCTATTTTTGTCATCTAAAATTTTGTGTTCATCTTTAAAGTTACATACCTCATGGTAAATATGGTTGGGGTGAAAACTACTCTGAATAATAATTGTAGTTTACGTGTTGATTCGGACGCCGAAGTGGTTTATGTTAATGTTCCCAAATTAGAAGGAGACAATGTTTATTTCAATACCAATAGTAGTTTTAGTAAGATTGAAAAAATTATCGACTACAAGTGGCCTAAAAATCGTAACACCAACTGGTTGACTGTGCATCAGAGTAAACCTTACATTGCTTATGTACTTTATCCTGATTTTCAAGATTCAAATCGACTTAGTCGATCTGTTGAGGACCTTGATCCAACAAAACAAATGATTCGTATCTTCAATTACAATAATCAGAAACGAATGCTTTTGAAGCCGCAATTTTCAACAACAATTGCCGACCTTGCTTTTGCCTATGTACCAATGTCATCAAGTGATGATGATAAATTTGCTGTTGTTGATCGATTTGCCAATGTTATCATCTATAGTTGCTATCTTTCTGATGACGATCCTAATGGTTATAAATCCTGTGAACTATTGAAAATTGTCTCTGAAGTTGGTGTACCTTTCTCAGAGGTGCGACTTGCTTGGTGTCCTGGTTACATTGATGATGACTATGGCATGAATTTAGCTATCTCGTATGACAACACTATTGAAGTCTATGATGCTGGGCGGTTTATTGAAAGAGGTTTTTGTCACATTTCCAAAGAAGAATTAGAACTTTCCACACCAGAGCGAAAGTTAATTAAAGAAGCGGGTTGTGAACCCATCATTACCGTTGCACTGTCTAATGATTTGGCAATGATTTGTTCGGCTTCTAAGGATAATAGAGTTCGTTTTTACCAGTTTGAAGATGAAGAAGTTAGGCTCGTACACACATGGGAACCCAAATGGTCTTCTGATGGTAATTTAAGTTGCGTATTTTTCCTGGACGATTTTAATGAATTGATTAAAGATCAAGAAAGTGGCATCTGGGGTTATATATTTGTTGGAACATCTAATGGAGAAATAACTATTTGGGAATCTAATCTGTGGAGGCCGATTCAAAAAGTTGTACTGTGCTTCCCGGATGATGAACCGTCCAACATTACTTATCGTATCGATTTATCATCTCATGTTATTCTTGCTATTCAAGAGAAGACTGGTTTCCTTTTACACTTAGAGTTTCTTGATGTGGACAATTGTGGTTTGGGCGGTGATGGTAAAACTTTACTCGTCAAACAACCAAGAATCAAGAAAATTACCCGTTTCCAATTATATAATCCAATTCTTTCATTCACTGTCAAGCGACCGAATCCTTCTCAGATTGAAATATTCTGGTTAACTCAAAAAACAATTGAGAAATGCTTGGTTGATATTGAAAATTTAGTAATCGATGAAAGTGCTGAAAATAATTTCCTCGCTAGATATAATCTTTCTAACATTAACCAAGACTATGATCAAAACAGATCAATGATATATCCAAATATGAGTATTAATGGAGCTGATGATGAATCTGTTGGCGATGAATCATCAAAACGATCTCTGCCCTCTTATGAGGTCACTCCACCGGTCACCTTGGCTAGTATTTTCAACAATATCAGTACCATATCAGAGTCAGGAACATCTGGCTTGTCTGCGGTTGGAGGATCGTCGAGCAAAAACCAGTCCAGTGATATAAAATTGTCTGGTAGTCATCAAATTATGGGTGACTCTATTACTCAACGTCCGACTAGCTCACCTACTAGTCGTGAAGTCGCTAATTACCTTGATGATGAAAAAGTACACCGTAATCCTAGCAGTAAAATCTATGACGAAATGCTTCATCTAGAGCCACAATCGGAAATGAATGTACCGCCTAAAATACTTAACATAGATCCAAGGGTTCAACACTCCATGAGCTCAGTGCCTTTTGAGCCTTTACCTAAAGACATTGCTAAAGAAGGAATGATCAAAGAACTGGAAACAAATTTACTTGACCGTTTTGACATTAAAATGGACAGTATGAAAAGTGAAATGACTAAAATAACCAATGACATTGAAAGTTTACGAAATGAAGTTAAAGATCCATCACAGTTGAAGGCAGCTAATAAAATTGTCGATATGCTAATTAAAAAATTGATGCATCAAATGAATCAAATGTTTGCCAAAGGATTAGAAGAGTTCATGCAGCAAATTCGATCTGAAATCACTCCAACAGTCAACACACTCAATCAGTGTCGTAATGATCTTAATGCACATTGTTTATCCGTTGGAAAACAATTTAAACAATGTGAAACTCAAATTCAAGAGCTTCGAAAAGAAGTTGCTGAATGTTCTAAACATCAAACGGATATCCTTGCCCAACTCAGATTCCAGCAGCAACAGTTTCAAGCTGTCGTTTCACCTTCACCTACTGCCCTTCGTAGTCACCATTTAATGAATGTTACACCAACTCCAGGCAAACAACCATTCAGTCCTTTAGTCAACTATCAAGCTCAGGAAGAAGAGAAAAGAAAAAAGGCTGAAGCAGAAAGAGTTGCACGACTACAACAAATGTGGAATAAAATTCGAAGCAATGATCGACCCTTAATGATAGAAGGAATTTGCCAAGCATTCGAAATGAGGGATCCAGCATTGATTAATCAAATTTGTGATCATTTTCGAGCCACTAAAGGAGCAGCCTTTTTGGTTGAATTAATTGCACACGATCAAGCCCTGCTTTTATCAATTTTAAGTACTCTAGCTTCAGCCGATCTTAAGGAAGAAAGATGGAAGATTCCATTTATCACTTCAATCGTTCCAAGATTAGACATAAAATCTCCGCTTATTAGTGATTGGTTGCCGAGATTTGAAACAAAATTGGTCAGTCGACTTGAAGAAGCCCACAAAGTCTTAGGAAATCAAGCAAGTGACATCCCATTGGTATTAACTATATTAAATTTGATGCGAAATCAAAAGAATCATTAGAATAACTTTTTTTCTAAAATATTTTCTCGATTTCACGGATTACCTCTCTCCACCTCTCAATCCTTTCAATAACCTCTTCTTCAGATGTTATATTATCATTCAACCCGTCCTCTTTTTCCTATCTCATTTCCTTGCATAACATCTTCCAATAAACCAACGGTTTCAAATTGTTAATTGAGTTAACAAAATTACATGTCTCTTAAAGACTTTTAATCAACATCTTCTTTGGATAATGTGTTACATGAAATCTATGATGAACATAGAATGAAAGAGTGAATTACAAATGTGAATGAATCAACATTATAAATGTGAACTGTATTTTTGAAGAAATTAATAAAACATCTGTCACTCGATTCTAATCTCATCAATAACAATATTTTGAGATCCATCATTTTGAGGTTCCTTTGGAGATGAATCATTGACCGCGTTACAAAGCTGATCGAACAGATCAGGTTCACTTTTTTTCTTTACCAATTGTTGACTAATCTTGAATGTAGCAGCAGCAACTTCAGCTTTACGATTAATTAAAAAAACGGATAACATTAAATTATTAATAAACATGAAAAGATTAATCGAACAAAAAGAAAGCCATTAAAGAAGAAAAAACTTACCTTTGATTTTTGTAATTGCTTGAGTAAGATCGTTCATTTCTATAATAGCAGTTTCAATTCTATTAGCTTCCATTATGTAAAAATAGATGTAACAATTAAGCAAATGAAATTGTTGTACCGACAATAACTGTAAATGAAACAATCAAAATTAAACAAAAGTGAAAATTAAGTTTGACGCAAAACTGAAAGAT